CCTCTGTCTCCCTTACTTCCCAAAGTCTATCCACTGCTTTCCTGCCACTCTTTTGTTGTTGTTGTTGGTCATGGGGCTTGAACTCTGGGCCTGGGCGCTGTCCCTCAGCTCTTCAGCTCAAGGTGAGCGCTCTACCACTTGAGCCACAGTGCCACTTCTGGTTTTCTGGTGGTTCATTGGAGATAAGTGTCTCATGAGGAGGCAACAATGCTTGATAAGAAATGTACTCATGGGCTGGGAAGGTGGCTCAGTGGTAGAGTGCTTGCCTTGCGTGCCTGAGGCCCTGGGTTCAATTCCTTAGCACCACATATGCAAAAAGAGAAAAGCCGGAAGTGGCGCTATGGCTCAAGTGGTAGAGCGCTAGCCTTGAGCTGAAGAGCTGAGGGGCAGCGCCCAGACCCAGAGTTCAGGCCCCATGACTGGACCCAAAAAAAAACAACAAAAAAAAAAACAAAGAAATGTACTCGTTATCTTGCCCATGTAATTGTAACTCCTCTGTACGGTATTCTCACGAATACAGTAGTCTCACAAACTTTCCTGGCAGGGCTGGCTTTGAACTGCGATCCCCACATCTCAGCCAGGTCCTGAGTAGCTAGGATGACAGGTGTGAGCCACCAGCACCCGGCTTTCTGTCAGTCTTAACCTCCCCTGAGTGATCCAAAGATAAGAACTTGGGCACAATGAACTCAGAAGCCAACGATCCAGTCCCATGCTATCTCCTGCTGCTTATCCACTGTGGAGGCGTTTCACAGGGGCCAGTGGTAGAACTTCAACAGAAGCGAGATTCCCTCTGTACAGTCAGCTGTGGCGGCCAGCTGGGGAAGAGGTACCATCCTTGTAGTTCCCTCCGCTGCTGTCTCTTCAGCTCCGTAAGCCTGCACCGGGCAGGGCAGACAGACGTCAGGAATAGGAGCGGCTCACTCCACCGCGGTCCCATCCCTGAGCCTCGCTGCTCTCTCCCTCTCAGTCATTATCACCTCTCCCATTTAGACACCCCTTTATAAAAGCCAGAAGTGGGGACCCAGAGAGAAAAAGGTTGATCAGAGTCAGAACTTGGGTAGGAAACCAGCAAGAGCTCATGTTCGTTAAGACAGGAATCGCATGGAAAGGCCGAGATCTAAATATTTAAGAAACACTGACTCACTCCTTTTCTATTTTGAACAGGACATGCAAATGTGGCTGCGTTTACGAGCCCACGCCCTCCCTCTCCTAAAAGTGCCATTTTTCAGGAAAGGGGAAGGAGTAGATCTCACCTCTCCGCGTCTCTAGTTCTCTCTGCGGTTGGGTCCAGGGTCCCTGGTTCTCTGTTTCTCCCCTTGGTCGCACAGCAGAGTCCCTGGGGAGCTTCCCTCAGGTGCTTTGGGAGTCAAGTTTCCTTGATCTGAGACTGAGGTGCCAAGTAAGCCATTGATACGTGCCTCCCCTGTTTTTTGTTTGTTTGTTTTTGCTGGTACTGGGGCTTGAACTCAAGGCCTCAAGATCTCACTAGTTCGGCTTTTTTTTTTCCCCCTCTCCAGAGCTGGTGCTCTACCACTTGAGCTATACCCCCACTTCCAGGTTTTGATGGGTAATTGGAAATGAGAGTCTCACAGAGCCAGACACTGATGCCTCACACCTATCAGGAGGCTGAGATCTGAGGATCGTGGTCCAAAGCCAGCCTGGGCAGGAAAGTCTGTGAGACTTTTTTTTTAATCTCCAATGAACCACCAGCAAACCAGAAGTGGCGCAGAGTGGTAGTGCGCTAGTCTTGAGTAAAAAGAGCTGAAGGACAGGTGCCAGGCCCTGAGTTCAAGCCCCACTGCCAACTACAAAAAAAAGTGTCACAGACTTTTCTCTTCAGGCTGGCTTTGAACCACAGTCTCCTCAAATCATAGACTCCTGAGTTGTTAGGACTTACAGGCGTGAAACACAGTACTCCTCCCTGTGTTCTGAATGTTGAATCAGAACATCTAGCTTTAGGTTTTTGCTTTCAAAACCTGGCTACTTCTAAGGACAATTGTAGGAGCCTTTTATTTTTTATTTATTTATTTTTTTGTATGTGTTTGGGTCCGGTCATGGGGCCTGAACTCTGGGCCTGGGCGCTGTCCCTCAGCTCTTCAGCTTAAGGCTAGCGCTCTGCCACTTGAGCCATAGTGCCACTTCGGCTTTTTTTCTTTTTTTTGCTTATGTGGTGCTGGGGAATGGAACCCAGGGCCTCGTGCATGCAAGGCAAGCGCTCTACCACGGAGCCACCTTCCCAGCCCCTCGTAGGAGCCTTTTAAAATCGACTCATTCTCCCCAAACTAGGAATTCAAATTCCTGCAGGTATCTATTTGGGAACCAGACTTTGACCATCCACTAGGTTGAGGAATTAACAATCTGTACTTTGGGGTATTTCTCCTAGCCTTTCCAGCTAGGAAGGTAGAGTTGTCAACATAATCAGTTAAAGCTACTTAGGGGCTTCACAGATGAGGCCGAATGTGTGACTCCTACCCCCAGCTGGCCGTCCAAATGACATGCTTAAGACAAGCTTGGGATGGTCTTGAACTTGACCTTCTTGAGGTTGGGCTTTCCTGCCCAACTCTCCCCAGCACTTCCTCTACGCCTCAGCTAAAGCCTGGATCGGTTTTATATTGGCCCACCCCACGCTTGCCCACATATTTTCCCCATTTCGTTATCATTTTTATTTCACTATATCTACTCAGTGGCACACTTCTGCAGAACCACTGGCGATATGAAACCAGAAACACAGATTAAAACTACCCTTACACTATCTTGAGAATTAAAAGTCTTTTATGTGGCTTCAAGGGGAAAAGAAAAGAGCTATGGACGGGAAATAGAAAAAGGAGAGTGTGTTTAAGGTTAAAGGTTGATATTAAATTGGTCAGTGACTAATACTGTGAATAACTTTACACACTGAAAGCCTATTACCCCTTCGATGTATGTCTCAGGAGTTTAGATGCTGTTTCCATATGTAAAGCATTCTGCTAAGTTTTGCCTGTTTTATATGGCCTCACTTCCATTTCTGATGTAAAAACATCAATATATCTTTCAGAACAAATGCCTACTGCCCACAAGAAATACACATATATATTTTTTAAGTCCCCAAATTCAATTTCGGAAACCATTTCTCAGGCACTGCAAAAGAAGAGAAAAATGAATGAGTTTGCTGTGGACAAGGAATAATCTTTTCCATAAGCACGGCAGTCAAAATGATAGAACCTACTCTTTTAGTATTTGGCATCTCTACAATATCATTTAATTCCCCGACCTCAGTAGGCAGAGTCTTTAACACCAAAACCATAAAAGAGGAAATGTGATATGTATTCCTCACTTCCCACAAGCACTTCCCTGTCTCCTCAAAGGAGATAAATGGTCCTCATACATTGTAATGCTGGCAGAGAGAGGTCTGTGTTATTCTAAGGAGCCTCAAAGTCCCAGTGCTGTGGACAGCAGACTCTCTCTCCCCCTGCAAACACAGAGAGATCACAGCTGCCCACCCCTGGAGGAACACAGGGCAGCTACTTGTGGCAGAATTCTCACTAAGCGCTTTCCTTTCTTGGGCTTTTTCTCTTACCTTTTTTTTTTTTTTTTGTCGGTCATGGGGCTTGAACTCTGGGCCTGGGCGCTGCCCCTCAGCTCTTCAGCTCAAGGCCAGAGCTCTACCACTTGAGCCACGGCGCCACTTCCGATTTTCTGGTGGCTCATGGGAGATGAGAGTCTCACGGACTTTCCTGCCCAGGCTGGCTTTGAACCATGCTCCTCATATCTCTGCCTCCTGAGTAGCTAGGATGACAGGCGTGAGCCACTGGCGCCCCAACATGTCCAATGCTGCTTGATCCTTGTCACCCCTTCTTTCCCCCAGAGTCACGTCACATTTCCCACTTGGCTTCTCACCGGTGGACATTAAGGTTTATGACTGTATGTGTACCAACCCCTTCCCCTCCACCCTGTTCCTTTTCCCACTCATCCACTCACTAGCACTAGCCTTACATCTCCCCCTCTTCCCCCCCCCATTCAAGCTGTGTTTCAGTTTCCTGCTATTCATTTTGCTCAACTGTCTGGTAATTGTTCAAAAGATTTCCTCCATGGAGTTTCACTCTTGCATCTACTATACTTTACTCACTTTGGTCAGTGTATATGCACCTATGCACCTGTGTGTGTTTACCTGGGAGGTTGTATTTTGTGCCTAAGATCCACGCATTGAGAGAAAACATAGGCCTTTTGTCTTTCCTGGCTTATCTTTTACTCAGTATGATATTTCCCAGATCCATTCATTTCCCTGAAAATGACGTAATTTCATTTTTTTTCTGGGAACTTAAATAGCTATTATTTGCTCTTTGAAACAAAGTAGTAAAATAATAACAACCCAGAAACTTGCTTCTGATAGCGGGGAAGGGGGTCAGGATTTAAATGTACAGTATGTAAAAGGACAGACTTGTTGGAGAGCATATTTATGAGGCTGGACCTGGACAGATACATCTAAAGTCTGAGCCATCAACTCTTCCTATCGCAAGGATAATATGTGATTGGTAGTAGTTTTTCATTTATTCTCTTTATTTTCTGTTAACCATAGTACCCAAATATTCCCTAATGAAAGTATCCTTTGTGTTGAGAAAATTAATGCAGTTTCAAGTGTGATTGTGCTCTCTTATTCTTCTTGTTTGTTTGTGAGCACCTGAGCAAAAATGAGATTAGGAAAGAAACTTCTTGAGACTAGAGACTCTGCAGAGATTCACAGAAAGTCCTGAAAGTTCCAAAACCAGACTCTTACCATCTAGCTGCGTGTGTGTTTTCTTCAAGAGGGGCATATGGTTTCAGTGTTGAGTCAATTGATTGGTGGTGATTTTGTAACAGAGAACATCATAAATTAAAATGTTTTTGGTATATCTAACCCAAGATTTGTCTACTTCAAATGTAGGTATTTAACAACCAGGACCATGTTGATTGGGAGCTCTTTCTGACTGTTCATTTAAAGTACGCCCCCCTGGATGTTACAATTTCTTCTCCTATTTTCCTAGACAGAATCATGAATAAACTGGAGGCAACGCAGGACCAGATGATACCATGAAGAGAAGCTTACAGGCCCTCTATTGCCAACTGTTAAGTAAGTCCATCCCACCTTTCTTTTTTCCTGGTTGACCTGGTTTTGCCACTAAAGCGCCAGAACTTACACAAGACCAAGAGTGGGTCTATGAGAAAGGGCCCTGAGGTTTTCCTCTGCGTCATCTAGATACGCCATCAACCATAGAATCATTCTAATGTCGTGAGCAGTTGTAATATAGACTCCGCTATCATAAAGCATATCATAATGATATGCTTGTTAAGCATCATCCAAAAACGTGTGCCGAAAGCATCCTTGCTCTCGGGTTTGTAGTAGTGAAAGGTCCTTCAATATAATCTCCTGTAGGTTCTTGATGAGGAAGAAGACTGTGTCTTCTGAATTTTGTCACATAGAATCAGTTATCCTTTGGTGACTATAAAGCCTTTGGCTTGGAATGTTGTAGATAGATAGATAGATAGATAGATAGATAGATAGATAGATAGATAGATAGATAGATAGATTGTAAAAGAGATAGAGATTTCTTGGGCTGGGAATATGACTTAGAGGTAGAGTGCCTGCATGAAGCCCTAGGTTCGATTCCTCAGTACCACATAAACAGAAAAAGCCAGAAGTGGTGCTGTGGTTCAAGTGGTAGAGCGCTAGCCTTGTGCAGAAGTTCAGGGACAGTGCCCAGGGCCTGAGTTCAAGCCCCAGGACTGGCAAAAAAAAAAAAAGACAAAAAAGAGATTTCTTAGGTTTGGGGTAGCACACTAAGTGTAACTTTCTGGATGTCATCTATGTTTGGGGATCACATCACAGAGTTCCTGTTGCATTAGTGACCATACAAGCCTTTGGGACGGAAGTGCTGCTCAGTGAATGGAAAAGCCGATAGCAATGGAGTGCTGATGTGCTGACTGACCCACTTGGAACAGCCGGCATTACCCGCTCCAGGGCAAGGCACCGAGTTGGAAAGCCTGGAGTTCATTGTCATTTGTCTAGTTCTTGCTGAGGCGAATGGAAGTCCTGTCTTTCCTAGACTAAGCAACTCCTGTTCCCTTTTCCTGAGGGAAAAAAAAAATGAAATGAAATGAAAAGAGATTGAGATGCAAATCACCAGCCAGTCAGCCCTTACTATGCAGTCATTCAGGTTATATTGTTGGACCCCCAGCGCCGGGCACTTTATCTACAGACAACATCCTGGCTGGGTGTTTTAATTGACTCATTTCTTCTGCCCAATTCTAATCCCTGCAACACAGATCACGTCAGGCTATTTCAGTCTGGTTGGGCAACAGCCAAATGTCATGGGGACAGCTCTCGTGTGCTTTTGCCATGTGTTTTAAAGGACTGTGGGTTGGTTGCCTTTAAAATAAAAAAAAAAGATAAGCTTGTTTGTTGGAGAAAAGGCTTTATACATTGAAGAAGCAACGTCATCAAGGAATGACTAACTGCTTTGATGGGGAGAGGAGACATTTAAAGGATAAACAAGGTTTTCATACCCACATGCACACACACATACACACCTCAGAAAGGAGAAAGCAGTCCGATTTCACACACACACACACACACACACCTCAAAAAGGAGAAGAAAGTCATTTGATCATGTCTGCAGCTGGAGAAGCAGGAAATGAAAAGGAAAATCATAGTAAATTAGGAAACACCAAGATTTTTGTGGCGTATTTTTGTGGCGTACACCTTAGCTGACTGTCTGTCCCAAAGCTGGTAAAAATATTTTAAGGTCATACATTACTTGAAAGGCATTGCCTAATTATTCTAACGTTCAGAGACAGGTCTTGTGTTTAACAAGGGTCATCTTCCTAAATGGAACAATTAGGAATGCAAAAGGGGTTTCTGCCGGGCGCTGGTAGCTCACGACCGTCATCCTAGCTACTCAAGAGGCTGAGATCTGAGGAGCGTGGTTCAAAGCCAGCCCAGGCAGGAAAGTCTGTGAGACTCTGATCTCCAGTGAACCACCAGAAAACCGGAAGTGGCACTGTGGCTCAAGTGGTAGCGTGCTCACCTTGAGCTGAAGAGCTGAGGGACAGCACCCAGGCACCCAGAGTTCAAGCCCCACAACAAATCTCAAACATCACCTAGAGAGCTAGAGAAATCACCTGTCTCAACACCTGGTTACTTACCAAAGCTTGCCAGGATATGCACCTGGCCCAGGTTAGATAGGTCTTTGCTGTTAGATGATAGGTAGTGCTACTCTCTGGGCAAGTCTGACTACTGGCCCGTATAAACACACTGTGGCTCATACACATCACTCATCCATTCTTTACTTTTGCCTGCGCTAACTTTGTCCACTAGCAAACATGTTTTTACAATGTCTAGAATTGACTTGAGAACTAAGAGGCAACACAGACTTGCTGTGTGATTCTTTTATTTTAATGGATCTCAGCCAACTGGTATGTCAAATGTGGTGTGTAGGGGTGGGGAAGGGGAGCCGAACCATACAGACTGTGCAGTTCCGTGTGCAGAGTAGTTTCCTTTCCATGAGGAGTTGAAGGGAGACAACCACAGAGGTTTTGTGATTCGGCCTACAGAGTGGCCTCCCCTACATGAGATGTTGGAAGACAATCCATCTTTTTTTTGTTGTTTGGTCGTGGGGCTTGAACTCTGGGCCTGGGCGCTGTCCCTCAGCTCTTCAGCTCAAGATGAGCCTTCTACCACTTGAGCCACAGCGCCACTTCCAGTTTTCTGAGTGGTTTATTGGAGTCTCACAGACTTTTCCTGCCTGGGCTGGCTTTGAACCATGATCCTCAGATCTCAGTCTCCTGAGTAGCTAGGATGACAGGCGTGAGCCACCGGTGCCCAGCTCAATCCATCTTTCTTCATGGACTCTTCATCCACTGGACCTCCTTCCCTTGCTGTTTACAACTTCCTGGTGGCAACATGTACCACACGGGACTAAGTAGGGCCTTAGATTCGGAAGCAAAGACAGCCTGAGCTCAAATCCTGGCCATACCCTATACCCATCAGTACCAGTTTGAGCCTGCCTCTCTTACCAGCTGATGGGCCCTCTGTCCCCCCACCCCCACCCCTAGACAAATCCCATCCCCTCAGAAACTACTGAGGACCCTTTGCTCTTGAGGAAATGAAGAACTCGGTCCATTAATGGCAAAGACCGGTTCACAGGCCTGTAGTAATGGCAATGACACACGTGTGCGCGGGGTCATCCATTAACACTACAGAAACGGGAAACATCCCTTTCCCACGTACTGCAACTTGCCACATGAGACTGAATTCATCTGACTGGCTTTGATCAGTGTTTTTCATGCTAGCTTAAGGAGCGCTTCATGCACCCCCTTGTCCAGACCCCGCCCCTGACTCAATCAGGTGGTGAGGGCAGGGAGCCCCAGTGTCATGGACTCTGGGAGTCTAAGCGCTTCTACACTTTACCTGTGCAGCACAGTCGCCTAGAGAGCAGCGCTGAATGCCCCTCCCCACTCCCCCCATAGTTTCTGATCCATTGTATCTGGGAATCTGGGAGTAGGCCAGGAATTTACATTCCTACATCTCCAGTGCTGTGGAAGCTTTGGCCCAGAGACTGACCTGTGACAGACACGGTCTTTGACTAGACTGGGCCAGAGAAGTTTTGCAGCTTCCTGGCATCACTGGACTATGTGGTTCGTTCCTGGAAGAGAACCAAGAGCTGGGACTGGGCATAGTGATGCATGTCTGTAATCGCAGCTCTGCAGAAGACACTGGTGGACCTTATCCAAGACCAGCCGCGAGCAAAATAGCATGAAGTCTCCTTTGAAAAAAAACAACTAAATCCAAAGAAGGATGAGAGTGTTGCTCAAGTGGTACAGAATTTGAGGTCCTAAGTTCAAATCCTATAACTGCCAAAACAAACAGAGAAAACCCATGATCCGTTGAAGGTGGGGGGCTGTGAAGGAGCTGGGGAGTTGACAGGAGAATCATAAATGCGGTGGATTTATGAACTGTTGGAGGATATTCAGGATATTCTGCAGGTTCATTTTTTTTTTTTAATCATGAGAAGGGCACGGGAGTGGGCTGGCTTCGGGTTGTAACACAAAGGCAAAAAAAAAAAAAAAAAGAGTAACTCTTCACTGTGACCGCACACTGCTCCCTGCCTGCTTTAGAAGTGGATTATCTAAGACTATTTCTTCCTCAGTTCTTGCTGGTTGGCTTTTTGTGCAAATCAAATCTTCAAGGCTGGATTCTTTTTTTTCTTCTTCTTCTCAATGATGAAATAGCTCTCTCCAGAGAGAGCAGGGCTCTGTGGTTTTGAAGGATAAGTCATTTGTGCAAAAGATTTCAGGAAGTAGCACTCTCATTGTGACCTTAGACCCCAGAGTTATACTACCCAGTGTCCTTAAAGATGTCCTGTTGAAGCCGGGCATCAGTGGCTCACACCTGTAATCCTAGCTACTCAGAAGGCTGAGATCTGAGGATTGTGGTTCAAAGCCAGCACGGGCAGGAATATCTGTGACTCTTATCTCCAGTGAACCACCAGAAAACCAGAAGTGGCGCTGTGGCTCAAGTGGTAGAGTGCTCACCTTGAGCTGAAGAGCTGAGGGACAGCGCCCAGGCCCAGAATTCAAACCCCAGGATGGACATGCATACATACATACACACATACATACGTACGTACGTACATACATACAATCCATGCTTAATGACATCTACAGAAGCTTTTCTAAAGAAGGTCACATTTGCAAGCTTCAAGGTTATACTGTTGGCTGCATCTTTTGGGACAGCACCCACCCACCATCTGAGCTGTGCTGTTGCTGTACACCGTGTGGAGTTGTTTCCTGTAGATCGAGCAGGTGGTATTAACATCTGGCGAACCTGAGCCAGGTGCTCAGAAGGCGGTGGTTATGGCCAGGGGATGAGGAAGGAGAACCAGTCAGGATATGTTGGTGTGACGCTCATGCCCGCACGCAGCCCTGGTGCACAGCCCCTTCCCAGCCTGTAGCACCAGTGCTGGGTGCGTGATTAATTATGCCACGATTGGTGGGAGGACGAAAGACTGCGAGCCGCTGTCCCTGGTCCTGAGCCCCGTTAACACTGGGCAGAAGGGCTTTCACCATCCCCTA